CTGTTAACCAAGTCTGTCAATATATGCATTCTCCTCGGACCATTCATTTGCAGGCAGTCAAACGCATCCTTCGTTATTTGAAGGGTACTCTTGATTCTGGTTTGTGTTTCACTAAAGGTTGTCAAAGCCTTACTGCGTGGTCTGATGCGGACTGGGCAGGCTGTCCTATTGATCGACGCTCCACAAGTGGCTACTGTGTTTTTCTTGGCCCTAATCTCATCTCTTGGAGTGCCAAGAAGCAATGCACTGTTGCCCGCTCGTCTACTGAAGCTGAGTACAGGTCTCTGGCCCATACAGCTGCTGAACTCAGTTGGGTCAGTAAGATTCTGCATGATATCTCTTTTCCTCTTCTCCATACGCCTGCGATTTTCTGTGATAACAAGAGTGCAATTGCCTTGGCCTTCAATCCGGTCTTTCATGCTCGGACAAAACATGTTGAAATCGACTACCATTATATTCGGGAAAAGGTTCTCAGTGGCACTGTTAGTGTTCATCATGTTACATCTCTTCTTCAACTGGCAGATATTTTCACCAAATCCTTGCCTGCTCCTCGTTTTGCCGAGCTTACTTCCAAGCTTTCAGTTAGACCCCCTAACTTTAGCTTGAGAGGGTGTGTTAAGGATACAATAGGACCACCAACTAAGCCCATATCTGATTAAAAAGATTTCTTATCTGTTAAGATATAGTTAATAGAGTAGGTGATTGTATCTATATATATTGTATTGTACATAGTCTGAATATAATGAAAATCATTCTATTCAATCCTCTCTCTCTCTAAAATTCTTTCTCTTTCTATCTCTGATTGTTCTCTCAAAGAATCATGAATTTCTACATATGGTATGTAAACTTCAACTTTTCATTTATGGCCTCAAACTAGCATCTCAAAGTTGGAATATGAGATTTTTGACAAAGTCATATGGGAATATGATTTCGAACAGAATTCAGACGAACTATGCGTTTACAAGAAACAAATTGCGGACACAATCACTTTCCTGCTGTTATATTTTGGCGACATATTTTTGATAGAAAGAATAAAGCTGTTCTTATAGAAGTAAAAAGCTTGTCAAAATATGTTCTCCATGATGAACATGGGAAGGGCCTTCTATATTCTTGGACTGTACAAGTTCAATTACATAGATAAGATGCTAAAACTGTTTAGCATGCAAGATTCGAAAATGTGCTTCCTTCCTCTTCGATATAGTATCTTTCTCACCAAGGACATCGGTCCTAAGACACCATGTGCGAAACTACTTGAGATGACAAAATCATCACAAGCAGGTTGTGTGATATCTTATGTATCACTACTACAAAAAACACTTTGCGCGACGAAATAAGATTTGTTGCGCAAAGTAATATTTCGTCGCTCAAAACCTTGGGTGACGAAATTTTTGTCGCGCATGGATAATTTGATCACTATTTTTAATAACCAAATATGTCTCGGGATACTAAACTTAGCTAGAACTATTTTATTTTTTTTAGTTTTACATATATTAAAATAAATGGTTAAATGGGTACCCATTTATAACCGCGGGTAATACTCATAACCACTCATTTAAATTTCACGGGTAAAGGTTATACCCATAACTGGTTATTTATCTAAACGATTATCCATAACCGTAACCATCAAATTTAAATGGGTGAATAACGACTGTTACCTATAACCAATGGGTATTTGCCCATTCCTAAGTGTGTCGCCCAATATTATTGTTTCAAGTGGATGATCTTGCTAGCACAATTGAATTCCTCACTCCACCATCTGTTGTTGGTGTATCAATGTAGATATTCTTAGAGGCTCGGGGAGCTTTCTGGTGATCAATCATGAAGAGGAAGACATGTAATTCATTTGCTAACGTTCTTCATGTAATAGTTCCTATGCTACTTTTTGACAAGTTTAGAAATACGATCCGTTGAGGATTCACTATGTAAGTTTCTATCATCATTAAAAAACAAATAAAATTGATAATTTCTGGTATCAAAATTGAGATCCCTCCCTTGAAGTTTGATTGTACATTGTAATTGTAAACACATGCACACATACTATCAACCCCTTCATAAGAGTAAGGGTTGGTTTGGTATTGTTGTGCTATGAAAAAAAGTTGTTGTGAGAATAAGCGGCTGTGGAATAAATCAGCAGAGTGTTTGGTAAACTTTTTTGTAAAAGTGCTTTTGGAAAAAAAAAAGTCTGATAGTGGATCTTTTCATTAAAGGAGCACTGTAGCTCTGTGTGCTTTGAAAAAAAACCAGTTTTCCAAAGCTGCAAATAGCAGTTTCAGCTTTTTCCTTTGATTTCAGCTTATTCTCACAGCAGCTTCCAAAATAAGCCCTTTTTTTTTAGTTTACCAAACACCTAAAACCCTCACAGCTTTTTTTCATGGGTACTTTTTGTTTAAGCACCTCACTCCCAAACCACCCCTAATTCCTTTGGATGAATAGTACAAAGGGCTTGTTAGATCTCTATGTAAGGCTCATTCTTTAAGAAACAACAAAATTTAAAATCTTTTAATTATTTGACTATCACCATGAGCATTTCATTGTTTTTTAGAAACACATCATGTTTGTTTATTATGGTGTTATATATAGTTAGATAATAATTCTTGATTTATAATCATGTTTGAAGTGAGATCAGATCAGAGACAAAAAAAAAAAAAAAAAAACTCATTTTGATTTAAGAATTTTAAAAGACAATTATCAATTTACTAGTAAGAATTGGAAGGCCCTAACTATCAGGTAATCAACCACACGATTGACTACACGATAAGTACACGGAAAACTTTCTTTAATAAGTACACGGAAAACTTTCTTTAAACTATTGACTACACGATAAGTACACGGAAAACTTTCTTTAAACTATTGACTGCACGATAAGTACCCAAACTGTCATGTATCCAAGACTTAGTCTTGTAGGTCACTGAAGGGGACATAAATCTAAAACGGGAACTTAACAGTGTAGTATCTTGTATTCCATTAAATCCAATATTTGCACGCGTGAATCGTGACTTGGGAAACAATTCTTTCGTTTACCTCTTCAACCCGCGTTCAAGTTTTATGGTCGCCCAACTTGCATGCATGGGGTCTTCTGGCCTTGTCTAATATTCGTCCGTTATGTGTCCCAAAAGTTAAAACGGATGAAGGACAAATCACAAATATTGAGGGCCTCAAAGACTGCCTTTGACACTGCAACGTCATGGTGGGGGTGATTATGAAGACAAACATCATTGTGTTTTGGATATTCTACATTCTATATGGATAATTCTAAAATGAACTACCAAGTTTTTGAATTTTAGTTCCGCAGCTACATCAACATAAACCTTAAAGGTCGTACCCAGTGCACAAGGCTCCCGCTTTACGCAGGATCTGGGAGAGGTGAATGTCGGCTAGCCTTACCCCCATTTATGGAGAGGCTGCTCCCAAGTCTCGAACCCGAGACCTACCGCTCATGGGCGAAGGCACTTGTCATCGCACCAAGTGCGACCTCTACATCAACATAAACCTTACGTAAAGAAAATTATTTGGTCATATTATTGTTAAAGTGGGGAAGAAAAATAATAAAAGTTAGGGAATAGTACAAACAGAGCCTTTACGGGTGTGCGTAAATGCTATCTAAACTAAAACTATTTTAAATTTATCTCCTAAACTCATGCTTTAGAATAAACTAGAAAATGTGATCGTGCTTTGTTTGCGGGCGTTGAATGTATTATCCACGACAGGCATGAATAATTTCCACACAAAGTAACTAAAAAAGACAGTGTAGTGCTTAAGAACCAATGAAGTGAAACTTTGCATTTTATGCATGGATATGCATGCTATAAGAAACCATTCATTTGTAGATCATAATCATTATTATACTCATCGTTTCAAGTAATCAGCCTACTACATGGGGAAACACAAAAAGGGGAAAGTAGAAAAAATAGAAGGCATAATACTTGTGCATATGGCAGGAAAAGTTAGTTTTTGAAAAAATTGCTAAACTGTTTTACAAATTCAATCGTTAAACGTTATACTATGACCTAAGATAAACATAAAGTATATAGTCCGTCTACAAATCAAAACGAAGTGCTATGAAAGGAAAATGATTAAGACATTGAAAATACAAAATTGGATTGGGCAACCATATCTTTCATTGGTAACTAAACGAATAATTTAGAATGGTACAAACCCGATTGTAGCTCATCTAACTCCTCTCTCATCCACAACTCTGTATTTGAAAGGTTGAGTAGCTAAGTTTGGATAAGTCGTCAAATAATTACTATATGAAGATTGAGAATAACCTCCATTCACTTTGCACAAAATTCTATAGAAAAGAGGACAAATTAAAATATTTAAAATAAGTATTACGATGCAAACATTTTTAAGATAAATTAAGCAGAAAAATGAAACGATTCCGACAACAATACAAAAGGAAAAAAAATTAAAGAAAAGTTACACTTATATTTCAAATTAGTTAATAATTAACCAGTCAATCAATCTCAATGATATAGCAATACCAGAGACATCATACAGAAATTCAAGTAAACCTCGTAAACTCTCAACTCCTCAACTCCACTCTCCCACCACTGTTTCTAATTCACCTCTCCTTCGAGCTTTTATATTACAAATTTATACATAGCAAATTGAACTGTCCATTTCGATTCATACATACATAGGTAAAAAAGCAAAAACTAAAGTCCCACCACATAAAATAATCAGTAACCAAACAAAGAAAATTTCTTGGAGACCAGAACAAACCTAATTGAATTTTCCGAGCGATTGTGATTGAAAATAAAAACGTATATTTAATTGCCCAAAATTTAAGCTTTACATTCATAAAGGAATAGATTTGAAGGAGGTCAACAATGTAATCCATTGATAACTCATATAGTCCATTTATAACTTCATATTTCTTGAATCAATTCTTACATACAATTAACAATATAGGTTGGATATTTATACGCATAAGCCATCAAACTACCTATCAGCACCCCCAAAAGAAACCCTTATGATGCCATTAAGAAGCTTAAACCTGAATCAAATGTCACTGTTTGACAAAAATAAACTCAATATTTACTAATTGAATGTAGACATTGTATTGCATAATATGCCTACTTCATATAATTGCTAATATAAGGAACAATTCCTTATCCAAGTGTCTGATGCATCAAGAAAGGCCAAAGACAATTGCAAGAGTAAAAAGGTGAAATGAATGGCAGTGGTTCAGGTGAAGATTATTGTAAGGTGCAAGGACTCAAGCATACAGGTCAATTTAGAGGTCACGTATAAAGTAAATCATGCGCTCGGGCACTCGTTAAAACGACATGAAGTGGCATCTCACTGTATTTAGGAGTTTTCTATGATGAACAATCGGGCGCAGAGATCAAAGCAGCAACGATTTCTGGAAGCTGCAAAAAAGGCCTACCAATGCAATTGTCACATGCAAAGATTGCCTCTACAGTGAAAGTTCGATCGTGGAAGGTTCAAATTTGAAGGTAAGGATTACAATTTGAAGCTCACAGTGAGAGAGAGCTTTTCATTGATTAAGTGATGATGAAGACACATCAAACCTCAAATTTCGCTAAAACCCGGGAAAAGACACATCAACTGAAGGTATTCCAACACATCCTTGGCAGGCTGTGGATTTTCTTTTTCCTCTGCCTCATAACCTTGCATGCCAAAACAACCAAGCCCAACAAATTAACGAACTAATTTTTCGAAATCAATAATAGCATACATATTTTCAAATTATCAATCAATAATTCATATATAATTAAGGGTCAAACAAATACATGGAAGACTGAAAATTTACTCACACATCTAATATATCCTTGCATTTTCATTTGAATTCAGAGTACATGGAAATCACATCAACGAATCAAAGCCCTAAATTTTTATCATCCTGAACTGGAAAAATATGTAAAATTTAAAAAATTTTGTTGCATCAAAATAATTACAAATTAAACCCCCTATTCTCTTTAGCCGATAATCAAAACCAAACGTAAATTACTCACCTAAAAGCCTTTTTCCAACGAAAATGCGGAAGGCAAGCCTGGGTCCTTAATAATCCAAAATCACGTCAAACGGAGGAAAATGACATATCAGAATCAAATACTCATATACTAATAGAAAATTTTAAATAAAGAAAACCAAGAGCCAGATACAATTTTGATACAAGGAAAGCAAAGTTAGAATACCAAGAGCTAGATTATGCTATTAAATCAGAGAAAACTAAGATGCAATGGAATATATACAAATCTAATCCAAGAATGCAAACCAAAACCCTTACTCTCTGAGAGAAACCACCAAATTCAACATTCAAATATGGATGCAATATAGAAAAAATAAAACAGGAAAATGGGAAAATTGATATTTCTAAAGCATATATATCTCACTTGACTGCCAAAGAGTACAAAACACAGTACAAACTAAGCATTGCTCAAGAAGTACCAACAATTCTCCGCAACAAAAGTTCAGGAGTCTAGGAAGGGACTTCGTTGTGGCTTCTTTGGATACACATAAGATGACCCTCTAGCAGTGTTCTGAGGTACTTTCTCATCCAGACTAAATCTCCTAGATCGACCATTGGCATTACCGTTTGCTTCAGAAACTGCAGGAAGTAAGCTCTTCCTACATCCAATGTTGGAAGACTGGCTCTTGTTGGTATCTGCATCAATTGCACTGAACTCGTCAAGGCCAAAATAAAGCAGTGCAATGCTGTCAAATAACAGCCAAGTACAGCGAAGAAGGATTATCACAATGAAGTGCCAACTTAATTAATCGTAGTAGGAATGCGTGTTTAGACTACATATTAGTCAAGATACTTGACACTGATTTTTTATAAGCTTTCGGTAGACTGACAAAGTAAGAACTATAAGACAGTGCAATTTTTGGTAAAACAGTTGTTGGCAGCGTCAAAATATGCATGTGGTGCCTCCTTTCCAATCAAATGGAGCATGATAGCTGTAGTAACTTGTCAAAAATAACTCAGATGCTACCACCATTCCAACCAACAGACTGAATGGGGCAGGATTGTGAGAGTATGATTAAGTGATTGATAACTTGAAGGATTGGCTTGATTAAAATGTTCAATTTGCCAAGAATAAAAAAGGTTCATGTACTCAGAAGTATAAGTGATAAAAGATGCACTCTATTCTTGTCGGACCTGAAGGAAAATTACCCGTACAATACTGAGGAATGGGAAAATAACTTAGGACCAGTACTTTACCAAGTAAACAATTGTTAACAGTTGCACATCCTACTAAACTAAGAAATATAAGGGGAACATCTACCAAAGGCATCCTACACGACAACTGATATAAAAAAACATGCAACCAGTATGCGTCCAACAGGATCATGGCCCTTTGTTGTCATGATGGAGAAATGCTCAAGGTTAGAGAACACATGCTTACAAATTTATAAACTAAACTAAACACCATTTATAAGTTTGCACGCCCCACCACTTTTCTATATATGACAAAAATTAAGAGTTTTCCAAACTAAAGCATGAAACTAGATTCACCAGAGAACTGGAAATTGCACATGAACAAAATAATATACATCATGCCATTTGTGATTTTGAAAGAAAAAAAATATACCTTCTTCAGGTCTGCTTTAGGAGGTGGAGGCTCCTGATAGAAGATTGGCATTGGAGCTGTTTTAAAAGTCAGTTTCTTCCTGAACATCCTAATCTCAGCTTCCAGAGTTTCCTGTAAAAGAACAGACAACATTCATAATAAGAACGTGCTTAAACACACAGGCTTCGGTTGACCACCATTGATTGAATACCACCTCATACTTGGCTTGCAAATTATTCTTCTCCATCTACTTTGCATGTATCTTTTCCTCCAGTTTAGTATAGAACTGCCCAAGGTAATTGTAAACGTTACTTCAATAACAGAGTTAGCACACAGCAAAGGAAAAATCAGAAAGATGCAAATGCAGAAACAACCACCCAAAAATTCAATATCCATTTTCCCCTCTGGTGCTATTTTAAGAAAACTATCATCTCCCTCAACAGATTTATGCATGAGATAATTTAAAAAAATAAAATAACTTTCACCATTAACTATGAATATCCTCATAGGGTAATGATTCTCAAATTAATCCCTACCTACCTCCCATCCAGAATTAAACTTAGTTTTCCAAAAACAAATTATACTGATTGATTAGTATTTAGGAGCAGTATGTGCATATGCAATAACACACTCATTATTTGTGAGTTTTATGTAAATGATCCATTAATTTTCTATCTTAACAGTTAAAACGTAAGAAAAGCTAAAATATATTTACACAGATTGATCAAATTGCTTAGTCTAATTCCCAAACTATGTAAAGTACAACACGGTCATCTTTACACAATTATCATGGAACAAACCACAACCAAATTGGTGGATTTTAATTTAAAAATATGGTAAAAATTACTCTAAGTATGGACATTGCATTAAACAAAAAAAAGCAAAAAGAATGGATCATTTACCGTCCAGTTGATATTGGACTCTCTCATTACATTATTAAGGCCTTCTTCATACTGCAGAGATAATAAACAAAGCTTAAGTCAACTAAACTTGAGGCAAAATAAGAAATAAATCATAATTATAAAAATAAAAAATAAAAAAACTAAAACGGTCGATAAAAATTTGATCAAAGTGAACAGAAGATGATCTTACAATGCCATACCCTATGATCAATGATAATTTGATACATTGCTTCATGTAGAAATTCCTCAGCCATCTACTGAAGACTGAATCTGTGAAAAAATAAGCTGCAGAAGAATAGTAAACGGAGCATAAGTTGAAAAAGAAAACTTGGTTGCATATTTCCAGACTGTTAAAGTAAACTCATAACCTGGGAGTCTGCAAATGAACTGACTTTTCTCAATTGATTGAAGGCATAGTCTAGGATAGTAGACAGTCTGCATTGATATCATAATCAGACTACAAATTCAAATTCAAAACACAAAAGCCAAATTAAACACAGAATTCAGAATTCACAATGCAAAATGATGCTTTCCAAAACCGATGTGTTATAACCCCATAATATTGACATATAATCTGTATTTGTGTGTAATCACAACATACCAAAAAGAGTAAATTCTAAAGAAAATCTCCACAAACATATCCAAGAAAAGCTGGTTTTTTTTTTCTTCTGAATTTCCTTCCTCAGTTATTTTTATTATTAATTCAATAGAAAACAAATCTTCTCTAAAAGAAAAGAAGGTGGACAGTGCAGTGGATAAGATATCAACTCGGCTAAGAAAACTATAATTGAATTCACTTACCGAGTCCATCAACTGATATCGCGAAACAACTTATCCATGAGTTCTAAAGAAATTGACGCCCGTAATGATGCCCAGAAGTGTACCTGATGCAGAATAGACCAGGCTTGAAAAATCAGAAACCCGATCAGTTTCTTATTTTTTAAGATGTAAAAGAATTCACATGTTTATAAATATTGTTGTATGAAAAATAAACATGTGCAAAATATAATTAATGGGATTAAAAACTAATGAATGATACAAATATGGCAGACTCAGATCTCAAAGCTTGTGATTTTAATGAAAAATTAAGCTGGTTCACTATCTGTTTAGGGAGCAGTCCAACTCATAGAGTTTGCTAACAAACACTGCCTAACATTTTGGTAAATTATAGAAACACAGAAGAAACAAAGCCCAAACAATACAAGACAACTTCTTTCTTCAACCCGAAAACAATCAGAATAAACTTATTTTATATACAATGCAAGCCAAAAGAAGCAAAACCCTCAGTTCAAATCAACTTAACTTGCCGAAAAGAGAAGTACCTTCTTCATCCGGGTTTTGATTTCGGATTTCCGGGATTTGTTGTAAATCCTCCTCTTTTCGGCCTGCCGAGCTCTCTTCACAGCAGAGTCGGGCTTCTTCACAGCCATATACCCTGAAAATAGTCAAGAACCTGCACCAACAATTAAAAACAGACAAACACAACATGATTGAAGAACACAGATCGGAATTAGAAACGAACTAATTTTGGGAAAACCGTATAGAAGTTACCTGATGCACTGCCGCTTCCACACGGCCTTTGCCGGAATCATAGCAAAAAAATTCGGAAAGTGTACTGCTGAGAAAAGGGAGGGATGGGAGGATTTGATGGACGGTTACAGAGAGAGAGTCGGGGGAGGAAAAGAAAAGGTGATGGAAACCGACGGAATTTCATTTGGTTGACGCGTGGGCGCCCTTCTACTGTGCAAAGCAGTGGCAATTTCGTAAACAAATTGAAATTTCCAATTTGAACGGCAGCGAAGAGGCGGTGGTAATTTTGTAAATAACTCAAAATCCACCCAATCTGTTCAGAGACAAAATTACTCTCCTAATTTTTAATATTTACCCTCCAACTCAGTCTCAGATTTGATGGCAGTGATGTAAATAAAGCAAAATCGAGTGGCAAAGATTTGACTGTAGCTTATTCCTCCTCAACTTTAGAATAGACTAGATCCATAATTAACATGTTTGTTATAACATAAATCTCCATGTGTTATTCCAATCAAAGAACCCAGAAAACTCAGAAACCATGATCAAACAAAAAAAGCCATAAAACTTACAAACCAAAAATCTCATTGTATTCAGAAGAAAGAAGAAAAAAGAGGCTTTTAGATGCCAAATTGACGGTGAATCCAGAGATAAATGAAAAAAAAAATGCAAATTGAGAAAATAGAATGTGAAATCACAACTTAATTGACCGTATCAAATTAATCGGACATACATTATATAGTACCTAACCGACCATACCGAATGGATAAGACCTAAGTGATAGTACCTAAATGATTAAGGTGCATTCATATAGGTACCATGATTAAGGTGCATTCATATAGGTACCATGATTTAGGTGCATTCATATAGGTACCATGATTTAGGTGTATTCATATAGGTACCATGATTTAGGTGCATTCATATAGGTACCATGGTTTAGGTGCATTCATATAAGTACCATGGTTTAGGTGCATTTGACTTGGTACTATGATTTATATGCATTCGACTAGGTTATATGATTTAAGCACAATAGGACATGGTTTAAGTGCATTCGATTATGTAAAATATATGATTTGGCTATTTATATTTCCTCTATGCTTTGAATGGTGATAATGAATAATTTGAATTAGGTATTTGTTAATTCTTGTAACGTATCACTAATATTTTTTTGAATTATGTTTATCATTTTAGAAAGTCAGACAATAATCAATGCCAAAAAATATGGAGCAAATTAAAATCAAATATTTAATAGGGGCATTATAGGAACCAAAAAACGCATTAAATATTTAAAAACAAGAAAATATAAATTTTAATATTTATGCTGACATGGAAATTTAGTCAAAGGACTATAATGAATATATAATCTAACATAAGGTTTTAATTGAATTTCAATCTTTATCAAGGATTAAAATGGAGAAACCCCTAAAGAAAATACATAACTTAAGTATTAATGAGTTAATGATACTTGTAGTTTTAATGTTAATATCCATGAATTTTTCTGAACATCTTAGTTGCATTCATGCATTGTTAAAAGGTTACTCATTTTCCTAAGTATAGAAGTTGTGAATTTTTTTTTTTAAAATGTCTAGTTCGTTGAGAGAGCGCAGTTGTGAACAGCACATGTTAAAGAACTTCGGGAGGATGAGATAGTTCATTATTAGAAAACCTTACGAAAACACCAACCAACCAATAACAGAATCACAGACTGAATTGTACAAACAAAATTTTTAAAAAAACAAACAAACCATCCAACCTCTGGACAATGAGAGGATTACAAAGACAACCAAGAATGAGAGCAAAGCAGACAGCAGACAATAACATAAAGCGATCGAACCAAACAGTTAATTAAAAAAGAATCATAAAGATAAGAAGTCTGAAACGGAAAGAATGGGAAAAGACCATATTTAAGTTCAGGTGACATATGAAAGTCTTGATTCAAATGTGATTTAAATATAAGCAAAAGAATAGACGCATATCATTTGTATACACACACCACCATCTGCATAACCAACAACTTCAATGAATTTGCACAGAATTCCAAACTCTAACCCTAAACCACACCCACCTTCTAAAATCTCGAAATAATAGAATGAAAGTGGAAATTAAATTTGAAAAACTCTCATTTCCACATCACAATTAACCACTGCAACTATATATTTTGCAACCAGAAAAACGATAATAGTTTCTTATTTTATACGTGTATAAATCTCTTAGGAGAAATGGAGTTAAAATAATATAAATTAAATGAAAACTTGAACAAATATTTCAAACCAACGAAAGTTTTTTTTCACCTGTCAACACAGATTATATAGTAATGCATTAGCTAATTGTAACAATTGGGAAAAACCACTTGAACAACTCAAAAAATCAGTTTGGTCCAAAGCTATAACACAAATCCTAATTTGTTCTTTGCTGATGTTGCTAATTCTATGATCAAGATGGGGAATATTAGTCCTCTTACAGGTACAACCCAAAGTATGTGACGACTGGTGAGTGTGTGCGTGTATGTGTGTGTAGTGAAGCGTTCACTTGAGATGCTTTAGATAATATTCGAGCAAACTCTGGCCTCAAGGTTTTACTTACCTCAAACCTAGCCTTGATCTTCTCTTAATTCACTGTTTATTAACATGGCTAAAATCATTTTCATTTGCAAATGCAATATGATATTAAGTGTGCTGCTACGTCTACTCATATGTTCTATGTAGCATATGAATTCTACTCAATACCCTAACATTACAACGAAAATTAATTGATATCATAAAGAAGTTGAGACTTTACCAAAGCAGCAAGGTAGCGGTTGCAAAATTCAGAGGCTAAAGCTTTCACTTTGTTTCGATTTGCAAAATACCAAAAAAGATATTTACAATCGAGGAAAGAAAACACATTTCACTAAAGAATGCACTTCAGGCATGATCAAATTGTCAACTGAGCGAAACGCATAAAACCATACACATATACACAACCGAATTCTATTATTTTCAGCAGTTCCAGGTAAAAAAATCAATCTCCCTACAGAAAATCAACGAAAACAAACGCTGGTCGTATGACTCTTAGGCTTAGTCAAATGATCCTATTCCATATCCAAATGGGTTTTCTAAAAAGAACCAATCTCTCAGTTATCCTTTTCTTTTCTTCTTTCAAAAAGTCAAATCAAGACCAAAGTTTCACAGATAATGTATACCCAGAAAAATAAAAAGCAAAATTAATGTATTTCAGAAACATCGGGTGGATGTTGAACCTTTAAAATCTGTAAACCCAGCGAATCAAATGAGTAAAGAAAAAGAAATCGAAATCCTACTGTTCTGAATTCATTCTTCTGTTTGCTAATCTAAAGATGAAGGGAAAGTTATCATAATTTCACCATGCAAGATTTCGCTATGCCAGATTTCATTTGCAGGCACCAAAACACGCGCAAAATTAAAGTTGGGGTCTTCATACTCTATTGGGTATCTGAAGTCATGTGAAAGCTCGGAAATAACCAAACCAACATCCAATTTAGCACACACCTAAGAAAAACTTAAGCAAGAAAATATATCCAACTGCTCAATCAATAATCAAACACGGTAATACAATCATTGAAAAATTTTCAATCATTTATCAAAATTGAATTAATAAAATTGAATGTTGGGGTCAAAATAAAAAAAAAATTAATTTAATTATAGTTAACTAATCAAGGTTAAGATTAATGAAAAAGCTTGAAAGTCTCATATCTAAAATTACACCTTAGGCTGCAAGTAGAATCAAAACCATGGAAGATCAAAACCACTAACCTTAAACACAGAGGTCTTCGTAGGCTTCAAAGAAAAGTCACCAACTCGAAAAATCCAATCTCCTGAAATCGAAAACAAAATCATATTAACCATCATCACCCAGAATCCAAAGCTCAACAGCTTGAATCAACGTTCGAATCATATATGACATCTTGTTTCAATTTCCATACATGAGTTCATTACATGCACAAATGCAGCGTTTGGTGTGTGAGAAAAACAAAAGAAAACCCTTTTGAAAATGTTTTCTTTCATTGAACAGAAAGATGAAAGTAACATTTCACCACGACTATGTTAATTGAATACAAAATTATTTTTGTGATTATTAATTTAGTATGGATAAGGATTAAGGGTTGCCAGTACATGCAAACTTTCAAGCATGACTTTGTTGTCGGAGAGGTTATGTCATGGAACCAAGTTTTAGTTTTATAGATTATGCCATGCAATCAAGTTTTACAAATACGTTAATCACACAAAAAAAATAAAAAAATCTAACCTGTTCTCAACCTTGGGCCTAGTGCTATATCGTTTCAACATTCACAAAATATCGGTAAGGATCTGAGTCGGAACATAAGTGCTTACAAACTCTCTATTGGTAGTAAGTTTTTGCGACGCTAAGTTGAAGGCCTAACTCTTGTTCAGTGCTGCATCATTTAGATAATCGTAGACCTAGAGTAAAAATTATTAAAAAAAAGAGAGGGATTTTCTCCCTGATTGTTGTGATAAGAATCACTCAAAGACAATAGGAACCACTCCAATTCATAATAGCATTTCACTGAGTTCAATACTGTAATGGAAAAACGCAAGAATATAGAAACATAAAGTGAGGAAGCATGATGTAAATTTAAACTAACCTAAATAATAGATTAATTTAAACCAAATTAAACTCGCAAGCGCACGAATCAATTGTAGTAAGATATGCAAATACGAGGTCGATCCCACAGGGATTGCTTTAACACCAATTTAACCGATTAATCACGCTAAACTTAATTAAACAAACAAATGATAGATTGAATTGAATAATTGATTAAGACTAAATTAACAAGAAAAATAAAAGACAATTAATTAAAACACACACACGACACAAGAAAACCTAAGGTTATGAATCCACCAACAACAATCCTATTTACTTTTCCTAAAGCCAACTACTATCCAATTACCATGCCAATGTTAAAGGTTGTTCTTTCTAAGGTATGAATTAATCCTTGGTCAGGCATCAACTCTTGTATCTCTACATGATAATTATATCCTATTGGTTAGGCATACAATTAAACACATAAAAACCCATTAAGCGTAGAAGAATCATGTCAACCAAGTAGGACTAGCTTGATATTGGTCATCCTCACTAGTTTGTCTACTCTTCTTAATCTTAGTTCCAATAAACCTAATTGATATTGGTCATCCTCATAGATTTATCTAAATA